GATGGGCAGAGGTAGAGGAGCCTGGAAAAGAATGGGGCTTGGACAGAGAGGTGGAGGGAAAGCCCAGAGAGTACACAGTCAGGGAAGTCAGGTCGGAGAGTGCTTCTAGAAGGAGGGTGTGGCCAACGGGGTCAAATATTGAGGACAGCCTGAGTAACAGAAGGACTAGGAAGTGTCCGTTGACTTCAGTGACATGGAAGTAGTGACCAGCTGAGCACAATTTAGGAGGAGTTGTGGAGGCCAGAGTTGAATTAAGAGGTGAGTGACTGGTGAGCATAGATATTCTGCTCTAAAGGGGAGGAGAATGATGCCATTTAGCTGTGGGGACATATAGAGCACAGAATAATTGTACATCTACAACCATTTCCACATCCATTTTTTTTCTCTTTCAGGTTTAAGAGACTTTAACTGTTGAAGAGAAGGAGTAAGTAGAAAGGGAGAAGTTGGACATATAGGTGAGATGACAGAGAAGAAGAGGGTGTGTTTGGAAGAAATGGGATCCATGGCTGGAGGGTGAAGATAGCTGCACTGGCAAGAGGAAGGACACACCTTCTACTGAGCCAGGTTGGAAGAAACCCAGATAGGAGGACAGTAAGTTTCTACATGTGGTGATGGAAAGGGTTCCTGCTTGGTGTTTCTGCTTTTTCAGCGAAGTAAGATGTGAAGCCGTCTGTTGCTGACAAGTCGGGGAGAGGTCGGTGGGGTAGAAATTTAAGGAGAAAATGGAAGGCCTCACTTGGATTCTGGGGAGGGTGAGGAAAGAGGCTGGCAAAGGAAGCCACAGAAGAATTGCCTGGAGCAGGGGTCCCCAACTCCAGGGTCACAGACTGGTACCAATCTGTGGCCTGTTAGGAACCAGGCCAAACAGAAGGAGGTGAGTGGCAGGTGGGCGTGTGAAGCTTCAGCTGTATTTACAACTGCTCCCCATCACTTGCATTACTGCCTGAGCTCTTCCTCCTGTCAGATCAGCAGTAGCATTAGATTCTCATAGGAGTGCGAACCCTAAAGGGATCTAGGTTGAGTGCTCCTTATGAGAATCTAATGCCTGATGATCTGAGGTGGGGCTGAGGCAGTGATGCTAGCGTTGGAGAGCAGCTGTGAATACAGATTATCATTAGCAGAGACGTTTGACTGCACAGAGACCATGATAAATCAATTGCTTGCAGACCCATATCAAAACCCTATCAGTGAGTGGCAAGTGACAATTGAGCTGCATCTGGTGGCAGGCTTTAAGTCAGAATCTGACACTTCTTTTAGTCCACATACAGTTTGAAAATAAAACTATGGAGATCTGACAACTAAAGAGTTAAAGAAGAACCATTCACCCAGACCAGTAGGAGGGGCAGAGACAGGCAGCTGGGGTGGAGAAGATGCAAGGCAAGGCGGTGGCGGGCAAGGTGGTGGCTGGCAGACCAGGCACTACCACACTAGCATGTAGATAAACCAGGAGGAACAACTGGGGAGTGAGTGAGAGAGGCCGCACAACCCGTTCCAGAATGGGTAACTAAAGCTTCAAAGCCTCTGGCTGTAAAAATTTTGGGGGGTTGTGGCAGTGGGAGAAACTCCAAGTTTCACAGGAGAGTTCATTAAAGGGAGCCATGGAGTCCTAGAAGGTGCATAAACCCACCCACCTGGGAATCAGCACTAGAAGGGCCCAATTCACTTGTGGGTAGTGGGGGAAGTGACTGAAAGTGGGGTGAGAGCTAAGCAAAAGGTCTTGTTCTCTCTCTGACCCCTCCTCCACATATAGCACCACAAAGCAGTGAGGTGGGTTGCCCTGCCCTGGTGAAATCCTAAGGCTCTGCATGTTACAATGTAACAGGTGTGCCGAGGCAAATAAATACGGCCCAAGTGAAAGAACAGATTAAAACTCCAGAAAAAGAACTAAGTGACTAAGAGATAGCCAACCTATCATATGCAGAGTTCAAAACACTGGTAATCAGGATGCTAACTGGAATGACTGAATATGGATGCAAAATACAGGAAGAAGTGAAGGCTAGGCCAAGTGAAATAAAGGAAGATATACAGGGAACCAATAGTGAAGGGGAGGAAATTGGGACTCAAATCAATGATTTGGAACAGAAGAAAGAAAGAAACAAGAATTTAAAAAAAAAAAGGTGGAGAGGCTTAGGAACCTCTGGGACAACTTTATATGTTCCAACATCTGAATCATAGGGGTACCAGAAGAAGAAGAGGAAGAGCAAGAAACTGAACACTTGTTTGAAAAAATAATAAAGAAAATTTTTCCCAACCTGGTGAAGGAAATAGACATGCAAGTCCAGGAAGCAGAGAGAGTCCCAAAGAAGTCGGACCCAAGGAAGAACACACCAAGGCACATCATCATTACATTACCCAAGATTAAAGATAAGGAGATAACCTTTTTTCTTTTTATAAAAAGATTTTATTTATTTATTGTTAGAGAGAAGGAAAAGGAGAGGGACAGAGAGGCAGAGTAACACTAATGTGTGGTTGCCTCTCATATGCCCCCTACTGAGGACCTGGCCTACAACTCAGGCATGTGCCCTGACTGGGAATCAAACTGGTGACCCTTTGGTTCACAGGCCAGCAGTCAATCCACTGAGCCACACCAGCCAGGTGAAGATAAGGAGAGAATGTTAAAAGCAGCAAGAGAAAAGAGACAGTTACTTATAAAGGAATTAACATGAGATGATCAGCTGATTTCTCAAAAGAAACCTTACAGGCAAGAAGGGACTGGAAAGAAGTATTCCAAGTCATGAAAGGTGAGGACCTACATCCAAGATTGCTCTATCCAGCAAAGCTTTCATTTAGAATGGAAGGACAGGTAAAGTGCTTCTCAGATAAGGTCAAGCTAAAGGAGTTCATCATCACCAATCTTTTATTATATAAAATGTTAAAGGGACTTATCTAAGAAAAAGAACATAAAAAATAATTAACAGCAAAATGACAACAAACTCACAGCTATCAACAACTGAACCTAAAAACAAAAACAAAAACACTAAGCACACTTAAACACTAAGCAAACAAAAACACTTAGCCTCCTCGACAACCAAAAGAAGAAGAACGACAATTTAGAAACAAAAAAACAAGCAGTACTGACAGAAAATTGAACTGTATGGAAGTCTGACAACCAAGGAGTTAAAGAAGAAACATTCATCCAGACCAGTAGGAGGGGTGGAGACCAGCAGCTGGTGGAGAGGACTCTTGGCAAGGCAGTGGCTGGAGGACCGGGGTGGGCAAGGTGGTGGCTGGTGGGCAAGACAGGGGCTGGCAGATGGGGTGGTCCCACACTCACATTCAGATCAACCGGGAGGAACAACTGGGGAGTGAGGCAGATGAAACAACCCAGAGTCCAGCTCAGGGAAATAAAGCACTGCCATTTCCAACATCCTGTCTTTGTGAGGCAGGGTTTCCTGCAGTGACAGCAACCAAGACAAAATTACGGAGTACACTAGACATAAGCAACACACTTCAGGTGTTACTGTCTCCTGTCACCCCCCCCCCCATGGGACCATCTAGTTGTGGGCAAACAAGCCCAGGGCTCCCACTGATTCTGCATTATGATGAGTTGTATCATTATTTCATTATATATTATAATGAATAACAATAGAAACAAAGTACACGATAAATGTAATGTGCCTTAGCCATCCCAAAACCACCCCCCCAACCCCGGTCTGTGGAAAGATTGTCTTCCATGAAACTGAGCCCTCCTGGTGCCAAAAAGGTTGGAGACCACTGGCCTGGAGGATTGAGGATGGTGTGGATGGAGACCATGGATTTAGGTCTACAGAGAATCCTCCAGTGTGGGACTTTTCTCCGTAATGATCGGTTGCCAGGGCATGGCTATAGGGAGAGCAGGGCAGTTGGGTTCTATTTTTAGGATCCTTAAAGTCTGAGGAGCTGTTTGTACCTGAAGCAAAATGCTGACCACCATCTGTGCTTTATTTATTGCTTAATCTATTTACATCATAAATCCATTTTAGCAAAAATTGTCTCAACATTTAAACATGATTTATATAATCAACAAATCAAAGTCAACATGTTTGACAAATCAGATTATTTAAACATTAACTGAAAACTTAAATCCTTCTCCACACTTTGACAGAATCAGTAGTATAATAGGTCAGCTTCTCTAAAAGCATTGGACATTTGGTAAAGCACAGATATCCTACAAACATTATGAAATTTATCACACCAACATTTAAACTCATTATAAAAATTGGTTCGTAGAGCCAAGAGACAGACACTATCTCATTTGAGACCAAGTTTTGGATATGGATATCCAAAAGAATACTATTTCAGCACAGATCAAGTTTTAGATTATCATTATATACATTCTTATTCCAAATGTATAAAGGAAACTGCAAAACTGTCTTTCTCCAGAGCATTTGAGATCTTGTTTCCAGCTTGTCATCAGTTTGGCTCAACTAAACTCATATGAAAAATTTAAAAAAAGGATGAGTTCTGGATTGAGATCTGGGAACTGGCTTACCTTTAAAACCCAAGCTTATTTTGTATTTCATGGGACCTTTCAAGCTTATACCTTTTCCATGCATTTAGTGTATTGTAATTGGATGCCTTTTCTTTAAATGATGTCATCTTTGAGTTTATTGACCACATTATACAGCTGTGCAAGCCACAATCCTGGAACCACTGAATATGTTATATTTCAAGGCAAAAAGAACTTTTGAATATATAATTCAGGTCATGGGCCTTAAAATAGCTTACCATACCCCGGATTATCTGGGAAGGGCCAATCTAATCACAGGAGTCCTTAAAATCAGATAACTTTCTCTACTGAAGTCAGGCAGGTGGCAGAAGGGTAGGTCAGAGATTCAAACTGTGAGAAGGACTTGGCTTGACGTAGCTGGCTTAGAGATGGAGGGGCCAGGGCCTCAGTCCTACAGCTGTGCTGGGGAGAAATTATCCTGTACTGTCAGGTTCTTCTTGCTGTACTAATAATGAAATTAACATGACACAGATTAGCAGAGGAAAATCAAATTGAAGTTTAATAACGTGTATACCTCCTATATACATGGGGGAGCCCCAGGAAGACTGAATTAACTTGCCAATAGGGTGGATGCCATCACCTTGTCATACCACATCAGCTGAAGGTGGAGATGTTGGCCAGGGAGAATCAGTTATGGGAGGTTACCAGGAAAAGCACAGTAAACAAAGGTAAGGTCGTCGTGCAGAGTTCAGTCCAGGGCCTCCTCCACTGATAGTGAAGGCAGGCTGGTATAGTGAGATAAACAGCCTTAAAGATGGAGGCTTCCCTTACGAATGTAAATGTCCTTTACAGAGAGTAACTTACTCTTGGTTTCCAGAGCTTCTCCCAAGTCGGTTGGCTCTTAAAATTAGTCAGCCTAAAATAATCAATATTCCAAACAGGCATATGTTGGGGTTGCGAACTCTGCTCCCCTCCCACCATCAGGAGCTGAGTTCTGAATGAGCGTGGAAGTAGACTGTCACACTTCAGGAAGAGAGGCTGTCCTGCCCCACCTTGTGTTTGGTGTCGGGAACTCTGAGTGGAGAATCCCATCGTGCCCTGCTGGACTTCTGACCCGCAGAAACTGTGAGACAGGTGGGTGTTGTGTTAAACTACTATTCCAGCCAATGAGATGCAGTCGGAAATGTGAGGTGCACTTTCAGGAGGTCTCCTTAAAGAAAAGGGGTGTGGCCTTTCTTTTCTTTTTACTCCTTCCTGGGGCTGTAAGGCTCACCATATAATGGCTGAAATCAAGGAGCCATCCTGTCAGGAGGTGATGGGATACAGACGGTAAGTAAACACAGGGAAGGGAAATTGGTCTGTGATGCTCATAAAACTACTACAATATTCTGATTTATAAGAAAGATGTACTTGGCCATTCAGATGTCCAAAATATATTTCTCATATATATTTGGTCTTCTTCCACAATTCTGGGATCACAGTTCCTGAAAGCCGTGGAATTTCCTAAGTGTTGAGACCGAAAAAGGTGTCTTCTGTTATTTAATGAAGTGACTTTGGAAAGCACTTAGAGATGGGGGCTGGTTGTCGATGGAGTCAACTAAAGGATGGTTGGAACTTTCAGTCCCATCACACACTCATCCCACCTTTGGGGAGGGGAACGGGGCTAGAAGTTGAATCAACTGCCGATGATCTAATTAAACGTGCCTCTGTAATGAAGCCTTCATAAAATCCCAAAAGGACAGGGTTCAGACAGCTTCCGGGTTGGTGAGCACGTGATCTGAGGGAGTAGCACCTGGAGAGGGTATGGAATCTCCGTGCCCTTTCCCTGGGCCTTGCTCTGTGCATCTCTTCCATATGGCTGTTCCTGAGTCTTTTATAATAAACTGGTGATGTAGCAAGTAACATGGTTCTCTGAGTTCTATGAGCCTCTCTAGCAAAGTAATTGAACCCAAGGAGGGGGTGACAAGGGAAAAATTCTGAGACAGTCTAAATTAAAGCTACAGTGCCAGAGAGTGAGGGAAAGAGACAGTGCAATTCCTGTTAATTGCTGTATGACAAAAGACTGCTCACATTCTTGTACATCTGTTGGAATTTAGGATTGATTTCCAGATAGCTATTTCTGTGATTATTCAAGAGAGAATAGTGGGGCACCATCAAACCCCAGGAGCCTTCGTTTCTTCTTTGCACTTGAGCTTTACAGATTCTTGCACCCCTTCCAGAACTAGCCCCTCTTCGCCTTCCCCAAGTCCTTTGTGCAGAGTGAACGTAAATTCTTTCAGAATGAGCTTACAGCTTTCTCCCCCATACCCGATGTAAAAAACACTTGCAAAACTCCTGGACGTCAGACATGTTAACTTTTGTACTTAGCCATGCAGTGGTTTAGATTCCACACCCGGAGACCAGTTGTTGACATCCAGTCATTGTCTTCTTCCTCTTCCTCTTCCTCTTCCTCCTCTTCTTCTTCTTCTTGCAATGGCCTAATAAATCCTTTCTTTTGAAAAACCCAACTAGGGAAGTTAAAATTTTTTATTTTACCACTGGAACCCAGCCAGTCAATCTGAGGCACAGGGAACAGCCTGGACTTGAAACTGGTGTTTGAACTGAGTTGCCAAGGACAGGGGCTCGCTGGAACCTCCAATCTATAGGCAGTTGATCGGAAGTACATTTAACAGCCTGGGTTTTCTGCTGGGGTCTGAAGTGAAGAGGGTTGGGGCGTAGGGCGAATCCTTAACCTGTGGAATCTGATGCAAAATCCAGGCAGGTAGTGTCAGAACTGTGTTGAATTGAGTCAAAATCTTGGACGTCCTGCCGGTGTCTGAGCATTGCTCGGTATTTTGTGGAAAGCACTCCCTCCCGTCCACACACGCACATTAGAATTGAATACAGGGACCCAAAAGCACTGCCATACATCCCTGGACTCTGTCTGTAGATTCTTCTATATGAGACAGAAATAATCTTCTACCTTATGTAAGCCATTCTTATTTTGGGCTTTACTGTTATTGTAATCTCATTTTAATTAGTAGGTAATACAGAGGCTCCCTTTCCCAAGAGATGAAGGATCAAGTTTGAGCAGCAAGCAGTTATCTGTCAGGCTTTCTTTCTTCCTAGCTGTAATATATGGCCAGATGGTGCCAATCAGTCTCTTTCACTCTTGGTACGGTTCCAATGTTTTTCTGGAATTACTCACAGCTCTCTGTATCCACCCCTCTCTGCTTACACAGACAAGGAGAAGTAAGTGTACCTTATGAATAGTTAAAATACCTACTATATTTATACTCTTCTATTTATCAAAATTAACTAAAAATATCCAATATATTCATTATGCTTCACTCAGCATATGAATGGCCTTTTTGTATGCTTCATAGTGACTGTTTTCTTTTGGAGTATCACTAGAGTCATAAATTTTAAAAAATCACCTTGTTCCAATTAAGTACATTATTTTCCTTTTGATTACCAAATTGCCACAGAATGGGAGTCTTTAAAATTGGTCCCCTTTCCTTCTCACTCTCCCCTATTCATTTAGAAAAGTATCCTTGCTTATTGTCATCAACAACATGTTCCAGGCCTAGAATTATTTGAGACATGGAGCTATTCTCCAAGGAACCCTGGGTCCTTTTAAAGGTGAATAATGTTTGAGATAAAGATCCAGGTGCTAAGAATGCCCGTCAGAATTTCTCCTAATGTTGTTTCTATGCTACTTTAGTGATAGTTTGAAAAATTGTTTCTTTTGAAAACCACAAATTTACATTGATATTTCCTACTTAACTCAAGCATTACTAAATCCTTTTTTTATTTGACTCTAATGTACAGTTGTATAGTTTCTACAACATACCTGGTGGTATTCTGACTTAAATTCTAATGGCATCTTCTGTCTTGAGTGATCTGATAATGTCTCATCAACCATAATTCTCTAGTTGCTTTATTGATTGAGTCACCCATGCTGGGCCAATGGGACAGGGAGGTAAGAGAGGTTATAATACTGGCAGGAGATTGGTTGAAGGGATGAATGATTGGATTCACGGTAATAGAAAGTTTAAGACAGCACAGATCAGGAGAGAGAAGAGAGGTGGTGGGACAGTCTAGAACAGGTTCGCTGCAGGTAACTGAGAGCTGGGGGAGGGAGGTGGTGGTCAGAGCAGGGGGCGATCGAAGTGCAGACTGCAAAGGTGGAACTCTTTTAGAAGGTGGCCGTGGGCATTGATGGGTTCCATGCCTGGACATTTACACTTGCCCACATGTGACCTTCTACCTACAGCTGCCCAAGGAAGTGCCATATACCTGCTCTCAGCTGGTACAAACAAACATACACACCCCATGTCTCAGCTGGAGAAGTGAGAGCCAGAGTCCATTTGGAACCTGGTACAGATGAACACCCAGGTTCACTGCCTGCTAGTTGCCCCAATGTACATGAAAAATGTGTACCTTACTCAGGCTGATCACTTGTTCCCTTCCTGTCCTATCAGCTATAGGCTCTGGGCTGCTCAGTGGCCCTCCCCACACTTGTACTGGTGGCTGAGCCTCCCTCCGTAGTCCATATGGGCTGGCTCAGATCCCGACTGTGCTGGCCGACATCCACGATGCTGGCACTCCTCACAGGAAGGAGCCTGCAGGGCATGCTGAGCCTGGTCCATCTGGGCCCTTGTGGGGGCCTGTCAGGCTCACCTGTCCACCTGTTTCCAAGTAGCTCTGAGCTAGAAGCTGGGGGTGGGGTGGAAGAAGGAAGAGCAAAGTTTGCAAAGTATGGCAGGGCTCTTTACCTGCCAAATCCTGCCCTCATCCCAGGGCTACACACAAAGAGATGCAGTGAGAGACTGAGGCATTTGGGAAGGGGGAGGGGCTAAGAGGAGCCAGGTCTGGGGACACCACAGCTCTGCTCATTACCTTAGGTGTTTGGTAATGGGACAGAGCTGTGGAGCCAGGTCTGGGGACAACACAGCTCTGCACATTACCTTAGGTGTTTGGTACAGCGTCCCATGCAAGAAGGTGAAATACAAGCAGCCAAAGGGAACCTCTCTCTGACCTCAAAGATGTTGCTTTGGGGGCAGGAGAGGGCATAGGCCAGAGATCAGGGGCTAGATTCCTGTCCTTGAAAGGCATGAACTCTCAGAGTGGAAAGATGAGGAAGCCAGAGAAGCTTGAATATTTCCAGCCACCCAGGAGGTTCCCTCGACGTAGGCGCAGAGATACCCGGTCCCCAGGATCCAGGGGCAGTAGCACAGAGCTGGTGGCTGCCTCTCGGGTCACGTCAGGGTCATTGGCAAAGGCTGAGATAACAGGCCAGGTGTTCAGCATCAAGCTCACCTGGGAAAGAAACCTAGTTAGCATGTCTCCCCAGACCTTGTCCTAGGACCCCATGTTTCTGAGGACTGCCCTTCTTCTCCCCAGCCCCAGAGGGATACTCTAGAATCTGGGAACCTGGAGCTCATGCACTCTCCTGGGAGTGCTGAGGGGTGGTCAGTGTTGGACTCTGCAGGTCCTCCACATTCTGCTAGGCAGGCCCCCTCCTCCCTCTCTCCTGGGCCCCCCGGGACACAGGCCAGTGAAGGGTCTGCCTAGGATTCAGCTGGGCTTCACTTATTTCTCCCCCCAACCTGGGACAGGGCCTAGCACTCAGATCACCTGGACGGTCTGGCGGTTGTACACCTTCACCACGTGGAACCGGAAGCTGTAGACACCCCGGACAGGGGCCACGAAGGAGCCTGAGGCCCGATCAAAGCCACCGCCCTCGTTCACCAAGACCTGGGGGAAGCAGACTCTGCTGAGTGGGCTGGGGGCACCTGGGGCTCAGGGAAACTGCTGGGCTGGGAGATGGGACAGTGAGTACGGAGCTACCAACAGGAGGAATGCACAGATTCAAAAGAAGTACTGAGAAAAGGCAAGGAGGAGTATGGGTAGGAGTGCAGGGAAAGGAGATGGGCAGTGGGATTGGGGGCAACTGGCCACAGCACAGTGGGCTTAGATTTGATCCAGGCTCTTGTAGGGCAGGGGGTTACCTGGTCAAAGTAGATGGCCCCATTGGTGCCGTTGCCGATCTCCCCTGCTGGCTCATGGTGGTGGCTGCGGACTGCAGCAAATGCCACTCTTCCAGGGGGTGCTTCTCCCAGAGCTGCTCCTCCGGGTCCCCCTGCAGCAGCTCTGCCTGGCTCACAGACCACCAGGCATTCGCCCTCCAGGAGGACAGGCTCTGCTCCCTCCTGGGCCCATGCGGTCCCCAGGGCCAGAATCATCAGGGCCATGGACAATCTGGAGTTGAGTGTGAGACCTGATAGCCAGAGACGTGGTAGCCAGTGCTGCTTTGCTCCCAGCATGGCTGAGCGGCTCTGACTCACAAGTCCTCCTGTCTTCTTGTCCGCCTTTCTGATCCTTTCAGTTTCTGCTCTTCCTCAGACTCTCAACTCTCCTAACCCTGCTTCTCAGCCTTCTCACGGCATCTCACTGTCACCTGGTCTCAGCGTCTCCCTCTCCATACCTCTCTGTGTACCACAACTCTGTCCTGTTTCTCACTCCTGCTGTCGCTGCAGTTCCCTCCTCCTTGGCAGGGCACAAAATGACAGCAGTTGGGCTCTGGGAGGGAGAGGAGAGATGCAGCAGCCCGATAGGAGGGCTACAGCCAGAATCCCAGGGCAGCCCCTGGGGAGAGTACTGAAGGCTGGAACTGGGACCACCGAGATAGGGTGTGTGTGCGTATGTGCACAACACAGCTCCTATCGCCCTTCCCCTCATTCCTCCCCTCTTCGAAGTCCCTCACACGTCTACAGCACTCTGAGTGGCATGTTTTCCATTGTTAAAAAGGAAAGCCCTTGTCTTTCTCCAACAATTGTTTTGGTAGGAATGTGCTTGGGTCAGTCATTTTTCCTCCTTGGCCTTCCAATAGCGTAAAAGGGACTGGATTAGTCAGTCCCTTTAAGGCTTTCTTCACTTCTGACTATTATGAGTGGTTCCTGTTTTCCGGGAACTTCGGGGAATGGGCAAGAACCCAAAGGAATCCAAAGCGGTAGTAGCGAGACCCAGTGAACTGCGGGAAAGTGGGCGGGGCCGAGATTGGGGGAGGGGCCGAGAGCTGGGAAGGGGGGGTGGGCGTGCCGTGGGGCGCAGTGCGGGCCCAGACCGGGGGAGGAGCTCGGCTGACTCCGCCCCCGGCCAGGAAGTGACTCCAAAAACAGTTCGAGATGTGAAGAGAGGTCCCCGTTGGGTGAGAAATCCGGCAAGGCCCGCCCAGATTCGAGCCCCTCCACCCCCCAATCTTTCTCCGCTCGGTCCGGGCCGGGGGCGCAGGAGAAGTTGGGGGCCGACGTACACCTAGAGACACCGGCTGGCGCGGACGCAACGGGTGGCCGAGGCGGGTAGAGGTGGAAGTCCGAGGCCTCCGCGCAGTGCGTGGCCGGGGGCGGCGGCCGCCAGAAGCTGTAGGCGGGGCTCGGTCAGGCCCCTGGGCCCCGGGTGGAGCGCGTGGAGCAACCTAGGGGGTGGCAGCGGGCGCGGAGGGAAGGGGAGGGGAGATGAGAGTGGCTAGAACCTTGGAAATGGCAGGCGAGGGACTCCAGAGTACAGCGCAGTTCAAGCTTTGGTGAGGATCCATTTTAAAGAGGACGTCTTCGACCTTGTGATTGCAGAGCCCCCCGAGGAGAGGGACTCTCTAGTCACCCGTCCACCCTTTTTGGACCCAGACCAAGCTGGAGCCGCCCCCTCTCCCGCCCCCCCTCTCCTGCTCAGGCCTGTGGTCATCCTTTTACAAAGCCCAGACGCCCATCCCAGAGAGACAGCCTTGTTTATCGATGACGTCCTCTTTGGAGAGAAGGCCCATGCCCCTTTAATCTGACATTCTCTTTCCACCCCCAAGATGGCCCTAAATCTCCTGGGTTGTTTATCAGATTTGTAACTAGGTGCGACCTGTTGGTAGCTGATGTAGCCCAAGAGACCAAGATTTGGTTTGAGGGGATGGCGAGGCTCTGAGCTGTCTTTCCTCCTTCCAGGTCTGGGTAGCCAAGCAGCCATGCCTACCTGGGGGGCCGGCTCCCCGTGCCCTGACCGCTTTGCCGTGTCTGCGGAGGCGGAGGACAAGGTGCGGGAGCAGCAACCCCATGTGGAGCGCATCTTCCGCGTGGGGATGGGCGTCCTCCCGAAGGACTGTCCTCAGAACCCTCACATCTGGCTGCAGCTGGAGGGCCCCAAGGAAAACGTCAGCAGAGCCAAGGTGAACGCCCCCTTCCTGACCCTTCTGGGAACAATGACTCTCTCCCCCTCTCAGAGGCCTGGGAGAAGAGGTCTGGGAAGGATCTCCACCATTGCTGGTCTCATGGCAACCTCAGTGGCCCTGGGCTGTGAGACACGCTCCAACTTTGTATTTGTTTGGAGTTTTGGTTTTATTTCTGCTGTGATGACCTAGGTTCTGTCAGGGATTGGAGACAAGTGATTCATTTCAGATGAGCAAGTGCTCTTTGGGACAGTAGAGAAAAACCCGGTTGCGCAAGCAGGCCCCACCAAGGAATTCACTGTATAGAGGCTCTGCTTGGGTTCCAGTACAGCTCTGCTGCCTACCAGCGCTGTGACCTGAGTTCCAGTTCCCTTGTCTATAAAATGTGCGTAATAGCAGTGCCCGCCTCTTTGGGCTTATTGTGAATGAGATAAAGCGTGAGCTCAGTCAGAGATGGAAATAGTGATAATTATGATGAGAATACACAACACACACATATAAATATTTAGAGAGACAGTCCTGTAACTAATTAATTATGGTTGTATCTTAATGTCAGTCAAGTTCTAAATGGAAATACTAACCATGGCTGTCAGCTAGAAAGGAAAGGAAGTGAGATTCTTGACCCCTGTTTAACCCTCACCTTTGTCAGGATCTGTGGGGCTCCATTGTCTGCTGAAGTGTCCTGGAGCTCAGGGGAGGGCAGTGAGCTTGAAGATTCTAGCAGCCTCCTTTTTCCTACCTTTCCCTTTTCCCCCCCTAGGAGTACCTGAAGGGTCTCTGCAGCCCGGAGCTGCAGGATGAAATCCACTACCCACCAAAACTGCACTGTATCTTCCTGGGGGCCCAGGGCCTCTTTCTTGATTGTCTGGCTTGGAGCACATCAGCCCACCTGGTACCTGGGGCACCCGGCTCACTGATGGTCAGTGGCCTGACGGAGGCCTTCGTCATGGCTCAGAGCCGAGTGGAGGAGCTGGTAGAGCGGCTGAGCTGGGACTTCCAGCCAGGGCCGTCTGCTGGAGCCTCTCAGTGTGCCGGAATGCTGAGAGACTTCTGTGCCCTGCTGCAGCCCCAGGGTGATACCCACCGAGAGGCCCTGCTGCAGCTGCCCCTAGCTGTCCAGGAGGAACTGCTGAGCCTGGTGCAAGAGGCATCCAGGGGGCAGGGGCCCCAAGGGCTTCCTTCCTGGGAGTGGGGGAACCCAGGCCTGCTGGGTGCTCCACACCAGGGAGTCAGAGCTCCTCTGAGTGAAGGCAGGAGGTCCCTAGACACTGGGCCTAAAGGGTGGCAAGAGTCAAGGGGAGAGAGACATGCTATGGAGAAGCAGGGAGGGAAGCAGGGTGGTCCCAGGGAGATGGATTTGGGATGGAAGGAGCTGCCTGGGGCAGAGGCCTGGGAGAGAGAAGTGACCTCCAGGTCACAGTTAGGGGGAGGAGAGGCAGGGCAGGAAGGGCTCCTGAAGGGGAAGGCCCTGGGGAAGGAGGGGATGCCTCAGGAAAGAGGAAGGTTCTGTGTACAGGGTGAGCCTCCTGGTGCCCAGGGTCCCTGTCAGAAGGCAGCCCAGCTTCGGGGAGCCTCTCTCCTCCAGCGGCTCCACAATGGGGAAGCCTCACCTCCCAGAGTGCCTAGCCCCCCGCCTGCACCTGAACCCCCGTGGTATTGTGGAGACCGAGGAGACAGGGGAGACAAGCAGCAGGTTGTGGCTCGAGGTCGGGGGTCTCCATGGAAACGAGGCACCCGGGGGGGCAACTTGGTGACTGGCACACAGCGTTTCCAGGAGGCCCTACAGGACCCTTTTACCCTGTGCCTTGCCAATGTACCTGGCCAGCCAGACCTCCGTCATATTGTCATTGATGGCAGCAACGTGGCCATGGTGTGAGTACCAGGCGGGGCTGAGGGTCCAGGGGAGGGGGATGAGATGGGCAGTATTGTTCACCTTGGGGACATGTGCTGAGGGGTGAGCATCCCAGCCAGGCTGCCAGGTCCTCTGCTGGGGCCCCAGAGCGCTGACCCCTTCCACTGCAGGCACGGCCTCCAGCACTACTTCTCCAGCCGGGGCATTGCCATCGCTGTGCAGTACTTCTGGGACCGTGGCCATCGGGACATCACTGTCTTTGTGCCTCAGTGGCGCTTCAGTAAGGATGCCAAGGTCAGAGGTGAGTTGGACCTTGTCTTTTTTGTGTCCTGGGATAGACCCTGCATCTACCTTGAGGATAACTGCGTTGTGTTCTTCTGTTTCTAGAGGGTCACTTCCTGCAAAAGCTCTACTCTCTTAGTCTGCTCTCCCTCACTCCCTCCCGAGTCATGGATGGCAAGAGGATCTCCTCCTATGATGACAGGTACTTGCTGCTTTCCTGGACCCTTCAAGGAGCTCAGTGGGAGAAAGAAGGAGAGCCAGAAGCTTCTGACCCTTTGCACTGTTTCTAAGCCCGGGGATTGAGCGCAGGGCCAGTTAGTCCACCGCGTGCCTCTATGACTGGGCCGCAGGTGAGGTGAGATGGACGGTAGACAACTGTACTTGCCCATTCATCATTCATTTTTCTTTCACCAAACTAAGTAATGCTTTGCATTTATATAGTGCCTTACTGTCTAGAGCATACTAGTTGAATGGTAGGATGGGAAAGCTGGTGACACGAATAGCGGACAAATGCCGTCTTACAACCTAAATTTCCAAACAAGTGGAGAAATTCCCCAGCATTCTGGGAAAAACAGAGTCAGTGTTCCAAATACCAAGTCAAATGAAGAAATACAATCCATGCATAGTAACATAAAACAAAGTGTAAATAAAACATGGTATAATAGAGAGATCACTGGACCTGGAATTTGATGATCTGACTTGGAGCTCCAAGTTGCCCATAGACTCTGACTGTGGACCAGTCTGTTCAGGGTCCTCTTCCATTTATTTGTGCTCCCTGTAACCCTCTAAAGAACATAAGCTGTGTGCTTTTCTCACTCAGGGTGCGAGGCAAGAATACAGTGATAGCACTGAACTGTTCATGAATCCGATCAGGTGAGGCAGAGGGTTTTGTCTCTGTGGTATGGAAATGGAGCCGAGGGTAAGGGTGGTTACCTCTCTTGGCAACATCTACTAAGTGGCAAAAGAAAAATGAGAATTTAAAGGTGTGTCCTGGGATAGACCCTGCTCGACTGTTCCTTGCAGGTAATTGCGTTGTGCTCCTGTTTCTAGAGGGTCACTTCCTCTGGAAACGGGGTGGGAAATGGGCAGATTTTAAAAGCTAATTAACCAATTAAAAATGTTTACAATGAAAGTTCTTTATTCTCTTAGTATTTCCAGTTTTAAATAAAAAACTAGTTTCCATACCACAGTGATTATATATTTTATCTTTTCAAGTACTTAACTTTTTCTCCCTAACAAGTGGACGGTATTCCACAAAAAGGCAGTTCCCTTTGTCCCAGTGCTATCGTTTTATGTCTAGATTTCACCGATTATCTAAGATGTGGAAGTTTCTTTTTGTACCAGCATTCACGTAGAACTGAAGCTGAAGGCTGAGTCATTTGCTATGAATTTTAAGGGCGTGTGTGTGTAGCTGCGTAGGTCCTGATAGGCTGACAGCACAACACCAACTTGGAGTTTTGCCTAGTTACAGTGACTGACAGTCGTGCACAGCACAGGCGTGGTGGGTGAATACCGCCGAACAACATGTGCTGTAACACGGTACTGGTAAATGTGCTTAGCCTGAAAATGCCATTTGCATATTATATGATACTCTAAGCAATTGTACATCATAGCCCTAATCTGTTTCCCGGACAGAAACTCAGAATCCGGTATCTGTCACTCCAAATCCTCGATACCACAATGTCTTCCAAATACTGACTGCCCACTTACTGCTAGGTGTGTGGCTTTCAGAAAGAGGTGGGAATGTTGGGAATTTTATTTCAAAGAGCCAAAAGAAACTATAAACCAACCACTTAAGTAACCTGGAGGAAGGGG